TTAATGTCCCAATTTTTCCATATCCCCTGCAGAATTGTCATTTTCCCCTTCTATCATTTTGGCCAATCTGATAGATGTGAGATGGTACCTCTGAGTTATTTTAATTTGCATTTCTCTAGTAATTTAGAGCATTTTTTCACAATGCACATAGCTGCCTGTTCATATTCTTTGACCATTTATCAATTAGTGAATGACTCATATTCTTATAAATTTGACTCAGTTCTCTATATATTTGAGGTATGAGACCTTTATTTGAGAAACCGGCTGTAAAAATTTCCCCCAAATTTTCTGCTTTCCTTCTAATCTTGTTTACATTGGTTTTATTTGTACAAAACCTTTTTTAATTTAATATAATCAAAATTATCCATTTTATATCCTACAGTATTCTCTATCTCTTGTTTATTGATAAATTCTTCTCTTATCCATAAATCTGGTAGGTAATATGTTTCATGCTTTTCTAATTTACTTATGATATCTCCCTTTATGTCTAGATCATGTATCCATTTTGACCTTATCTTGGTAAATGGTGTAAGATATTGATATATACCTAGTTTTTGCCAGACTGTTTTCTAGTTTTCCCAGCAATTTTTACCAAATAGTGAGTTCTTATCCCAAAAGCTTAGACTTTCGCATTTATCAAACACAAGGTTACTCTAGTAATTTACTACTGTGTATTGCATATCTACTCTGTTCCACAGATCCACCTTTCTATTTCTTAACCAGTACCAGATAGTTTGGATAATTACTGTCTTATAGTATAGTTTAAGATCCAAAACTGCTGGACCTTCTTCCTTTACATTTTTTTTTCATTATTTCCTTTGAGATTCTTGACTTTTTGTTCTTCCACATAAATTTTGTTGTTATTTTTTCTGGCTCATTAAAATAATTTTTTGGTAGTTTGATTGGTATGGCACTGAAGAAGTAGATTAGTTTATGTAGAAGTGTCTTTTTAATTATATTGGCTCAGCCCAACTGTGAATAAGTAATATATTCCCAATTATTTAAATCTGACTTTATTTGTATAAAAATGTCTTATAATTATGTTCATATAGTTCCTGGGTTTGTCTTGGCAGGTGTACTCCCAAGTATTTTGTATTGTCTATGGTTATTTTAAATGAAATATCTATTATCTCTTCTTACAGGGCTTTGCTGGTGATATATAGAAATGCTGATGATTTATATCAGTTTATTTTATATCCTACTAATTTGCTAGAATTATGAATTATTTCAGTGAACTTTTTAGTTGAATTTCTAGGATTTTCCAAGTATACCATCATATGGTCTGCAAAAAGAGATAGTTTTATTACCTCATTGCCCATTTGGATTCCATCAATTTCTTTTTCTTCCCTTATTGCTATAGCTAGCATTTCTAGTACGATATTGAATAATTGTGGTGATAATGGGCATCCTTGCTTCACCCCTGATCTTATTGGAAGGGTTTTTAGCTTATCCCCATTATTGATTGGGATAGCTGATAGTTTTAGGTAGATACTTCTTATCATTTTAAGGAAAACTCCATTTATCTGTATGCTTTCAAGTGTTTTCAAGTGGCGGTCCTGGGCTCCTTTCCTTTTCTGATAGGATGACTAGACTAATAGATAAGGGAAATGCTGTAGATATAGGTTACCACCTAGATTTTAGCAAGGATAATGTATCAGATACTGTTCTTGTAGAGAAGACAATAATATGATCAGATAGATTCCGAATGAGCGGGATGCCCAACTCAAAGAAGAGTCATCAGTGATTCAATGTCAATGTGACAAGCAGTTTCCAATAGAGTATCTCAGAGTTCTATGCTTGGCCCTGGGCTATTTCATGTTTTTTATTAATAATTTGAATAAAGGCATAGATGGTATACTCATTGAATTTGCCAAGGACACAAGGCAGGGAGGGCAAGCTAACACTGTGAATGACAGCGTCAGGATCCAAAGGATCCTGACAGGCTAAAGCCTTGGGCTGAATCTAAGGAGATGAAATTCGATAGGGATCAATGTAAAGTCTTGCACTTGGGTACAGGAAATTTCAATATGAAATTAAACTCCAAGAGCCAAATATAGAGACTCTCCAGGCTGGCAGGAACTTTCACTATGCGATTTACGTGAGCCCGAACTATTGCTATCAGATGATCCACCCAGCCCTAACTTGTAAGTGCCTATGATTCTATTTGGGCTGACTACTGACTACTTCTTACTCCAGTCCTCCTCTTCCTCCCTCCTCCCCTACCCCCCTCGGTTATTTGGCCGAGGGAACACTAGCCTCCGGGCCCGAGTAAACACGAGACTCAGAGGCCCTGGAGGCTCTTGGGCACCCAACCAATGAGTTTAAAAGAGATTGACTGACTTTATAAACTATTTCAGCCTGGCTGTGTGACATCATTTAGGCTTTAATTCACATAAAATAAAAGGCCAAAGAAACAGGTGTTGACTTTTTTTTCCAAGTAGGGAAGGAGCATTGGGAAGTGAATGTTGTGTTCAAACAAAATCTGCCATTAAAGTATAAAACCCTGAAAATTAATTAATTAATTAATTAAATATAACCCCTCCCAAAAAACTAAAAAGATGCCAATTAACACATTGACTTCATGGAAAAGGTGGAGTTATTTATTGAGATATAGTATTTGTTCACAAGTTTTTGCCTTTCCCCCATACCATATCCAGAATTACTCTAGGCTATTGATAATGTTTCATTAACCATTTACTAGAGTATAATTCATAACAATCCCCAAAGTTTCCCTTTTCCATGATTAGGAGTTCCCAGATCTCTGCGGGGAGGTTGAGTGGCTAAATGTCTTCAATCTCCCTTCCCTCAGCTCTTATGGAGCCTTAACTGATCTCCCAGTTGCTAGTGCCCCCCCACCAGCCCCCTGACAAATTAGCTTGTATATATTTTGTATACACTTAACTAACATCTCCCAATTCCAATAGAATTTTAGCGTCCAGCACAGTGCCTGGTATATAATAGGTGCTTAAAAAAATGCTTGTTGATTCATTGATTGTCTTCCTTCCACCTCTTACATGATCGGATCATTCTGTTGGCTCTAGCTCTATGCTTTGAGCAGACTAGACATTTTTTTAAAAATTAGATTTCACTGATTTTTTTGTTTTTATATTTCCGAGATTTCCCCCTGTACACTTTCCTATCTCAGAGTAGATCTTTAATGTTTGTTGAATGAATGAATGAACCCAGGATGTCAGAGATGGAAGAGACCTTAGAAACTATGTCATATGACTTCCCAAGGTTGAGATCCCATTGCCCGGAAGTCAGAGAGTTGGGTCTTGTGAGTTGTGGCCGATTGACTCCAGAGCCTGAGGCTGGAATTGAAGGCTGCATTTTTTTTTCTTTCTTTCTTTCTTTTTTTTTGGCCAGCTCAATCTTTTCTCCCACCTTATTTATTTTTATTTTATGCCTTAATGTCTTTAGAATGGAAGTAACCCAAAGCTGGCCCCCAAGAACAGGAAAGGTCAAGACTTGGGCATTTTAGAAGAGGTTTTGGGGAAGGCAAAGTACTTCTCTATCCTACAATCTAACCTAAGAGGAACATGGTCTGGATTGACCAGAGATCATGGTAGCAAGCACCCATCTAGAGATTTTTATGAACTGTATGACGGTGGACAAATCACCTAACCTCTCTATTCTTTAACACTTTTTTTCTGTAACGTGAAGGGGGTTAGATTCGATAGCCTCTTAGGTCCTTTCCAGCTCTAGATTGAGGATCCTATGTGTAACCCTGGACAAGTCATTTCCTTTCTTTGGGCCCTAGTTTCCTCCTCTGTAAAAGGAGTTTGGACTAAATGGCTTTTGAGGTCTTTTTCAGCTCTAGAGGCAGCTTTTAGAGTCACAGGGGTTGAGGGACTGGACTCTAAGTCAGGAAGATCTGAATTCGAATCCTGCCTCAAACAATTGCTGGCTGTGTGACCTTGGACAAGTCCTTGAGGCTTACTCAGTTTCCTCCTTTGTAAAATGGAAATAGCACCTACCTCACAGGTTTGTTGTGAGAATCAACTGAAATAACATATACAAAGAGCTTTGTAAACTTTAAAACACTATATAAATACTAGCTATTATTATGATTATTATTCAATCTAGGATCCTAGGCGTGACCTACAGTAAGTCACTTCCCTTCCCCGGACCTCAGTATCCCCCTCTGGTCTCTGAGGTCCCTTTCAGCGCCAAAGCTATGAGCCTATAAGTGTGATCCTTCATTCAATTACACAATTTTTGTTGTGGTTGTTTTTGCTTTTTCATGAGGCAGTCGGGGTTAAGTGACTTGCCCAGGGTCACACAGCTAGTAAATGTCAAGTTTTTTAGACCTGATTTGAACTCAGGTCCTCCTGACTCCAGGGTCGGTGCTTTATCCACTGCGCTACCTAGCTGCTCCCTACAAGTATTTTTTAGGCAACCAGTATATGCCAGGCACTTACACATTGGCAACCCTTTGGAAACTTGTCTATAGCTATCATCCCCTCCCCCCCACCCCCAAGTTTTCTCTTCTGCCCATCCTCTTCTGGTATTATATCCAGTCCTCTTATCACACAACACTCCAAACCAAACCTGACGCTCTAGATAAAGTGACCAGAGAAGAGGAGAACAGTAAGGGAATAAGCATTTATACAGTACCTACAATGGGCCAGGCACTGTGCTATCAATGGAGTACTTTTTATGAATGTGATCTCATTTGATTCTCTCAACAACCCTGTTGGGGTAGGTGCTGTTATTATCCCCATTTTACAGATGAGGAAACTGAGGTTAAGTGACTTGCCTAGGATCACACAGCTAGTAAGTGTCTGAAGCAGAATTTGAACTAGGGTCTTCCTGACTCCAGGCCCAGTGCTCTATCCACTGTACCACCAGCTGCCTCAATGGGATTAATGGGAATGGAGAGGGATTCTCCCCTATAACCTAGCCCTTGCTTTTCACCTTACTGAGAGCTCACTCACTACCTCCAACTATATGGCAAGCTCTCACAGGTGAGAAGTGACCAGATTAGAGGGGGACATGAGTCATATGAGGGCTAACCCTTGAGCAGGGCCAGCCAGGCCTGAATCCCATGCTAAGGAGCCTTGGCTGTTGTCAGCAGGAAGGGATCTCCTATTCATTTGTTTCTTCTCTTTGGCTCTACGGTTCTGGAACCAAATCTTCACCTATGAAAGAATAAAAAAGGAAATTGTCATAATATTGATAATGGACAGCTCCGTATATTCATAATGGACAGCTCCATAACACTTTAACATTTGCAAGATGCCTTATGTCTCATTTGCTCCTAACAAAGGTACTGGCAAGTAGGTATTTCAAGGGCTGTCCTGCCCATTTTACAGCTAAAGACACAAAGAGGTGGAAAAACTTGCCCATAACCACACAGGAGTCAAGTAGGAAAGAAAGGATAATACTGCACCATCTACTATGTTGGCTGAAGCCTCAGGATGTCATAGGATTTAGAATTGAGAGAAACTTCAGAGCACATCTAGGCCAACCCCCTCATTTTACAGAGGGGGAAACTGAGACCAAGGAGGGGAATTTGTCCAAGATCATAAGAGTCTAGAATCTACTATTAAAGAGATGGTAAATGAATGGATATCTAGAAGAAGACACGGTGAAATGAAAGAGGAAGAACGAGTCATTCCAGATTAATCTCATTTCCTTTTTTGACAGGCTTCCTAGACCTATAGGGTAAGGGAGTAGTGGAGATAGGGTTTACCTTGATTTTAGCACATTATTTAACAGTCTCTCATGTAGGTAAGGTGGTAAGATACAGGTGAGATTATTCTATGCATTTAGGCAGATTCAGAACTACTGTGGTTGGATGGCTAGCCTAAATGTAAGCTTAGAAGGAGTTCTATATCGAAGTCCAGTGTTCTGGTCTCTAAAGTTCCTCACAGCTTGGAGGTCCAGAATTTTGGTGGTTTTTGAAATTGGCCTTCTTGGGCCCCTCCCAGCTCTAAGTTCTAAGACCCTTCCCAGCTCTGACATTCTATGTTCTAAAGCCCCTCCCAGCTCTGACACTGTATAAACTAAGATCTTTCCCAAATCTTACGTTCTCTGTTCTACATTCCCTCTGTAGAATATTGTGTGTTCTAAAGTCCCTTCTGCTTTGCCATTCTATGTTCTCAGGACCATCCCAACTCTCACATTCTGTTTTGAGGTTGTTCCATGCTGCAACGTTTTAATTTCTAATGACCCTTCAAGCTGTGACATTCTCTATTCTTGGTGATAGTGATGGTGGTGGTTTTCTGGAATTCTTTTGATTTCTGAGATCTTATGTTACAAAGTCCTTCCAAGCCGTACTTTTTTATGCTCTACGGCCTAAAGTCCTTTTCATCTTGGACTCCATGATGCTCCTGCTAGGGCCTATTAGTAGCTAACCTTGGAATCCAATCCCAAGCTCCTACTGGCCTCTGCCCTCATTTTCTCATCCTGGGGTGATAAAGGAAAGAACAAACATCTCCAGTTAAATAGAAGGCCAAGATCAGTTTTCAGTCTCCAGTTGGGCATACCCATGGATACCACTGTGCATTTTTGCTGTGCTGTGTGTGGGTAGGAACAGAGAAGAGGAAACTTGAGTAGTGTTTCTGGGGGGCCAGAGAGTTGGAATTAGAGGCCCCCTCAAGGCCTGAGTGGGGACATATCCAGCTGACCTAAAGGGAGGGATTGGAAGTTTAGAAAAGGCAGTGATGGGCAAGACTGCTTTTCTTGGCAAGAAACTCCTGTCACACCCCAAATCTTTGCCAAGTCATGAATGGCACCTTAGGCCTTGTCACTATGGGATAATGGGGAAAATTCTCAGAACTCTTCCTCTTTAAAAAAGAACCCCAGGAGGGTGGAATGAGAAGGGATTCATGCTCAGATAGGTAAAAATTACTTGGAAACAAAGATGACTGCACTGCTCTCCTTTTTTCCCTCTAGTGGTACCCCAGTCCCTTCTTCCTGATCTCTCCAAAATCAATCAATCAATCAATCAATCAAATAACAACCATTTATTAATCTCCTACAATGTATTCTACCGGGTTCTGCATAGGCTTTGGAGATATAAGTACAAAGAATGAAATAATTGGGGCAGCTAGGTGGAGCTACAGTGGATAGAGCACCTGCCCTGAAATCAGGAGGACCTGAGTTCAATTCTGACCTTAGACCAAACACTTGACACTTACTAGCTGTGTGACCCTGGGCAAGTCACTTAACCCCAACTGCTTAAAAAAATTTAAAAAAAAAAAAAGAACTTTGGAATTGATTGTGTGACATGGGAGACCCTGGCACAGGACCACCCAGCATGGCGTGCCCTTGTCAGAGAAAATACTGTGCTCTATGAGCAAAGCAGAATTGATGTAGCTCAAAAGAAACACGACATGAGTAAGTGTAGAGAATCCACCCCAAATGTTCACTTGGCCTATGTGTGCCCGACCTGTGGTAGAGCCTTCCGAGTTCATATTGGTCTGATCAGCCACAGTTGGACATCCTGTACCTTGACTCTAACATAGTGATGTCATTTTGGTCCTCTTCGAGAATGAAGGATAACTACCCACCAGGACTTCCTACCATTTGCAAATTTCATTGGTGACATACTTGGTTTTCTTTTTAAAAATAACTTTTTCCAGAGAATCACTGAGATAAAGGAAATCCATAAAGGTCATTTCAACCTCAAATATGGCAAGGGCTATATTTGAACCCAGATGAGAATCTATTCTTTTTTTCTCATCCCTTCAAGGAAGGAGGCTTTTTTTTTATCTATTCTATCAAAAATATAGAATCCTCCACCTAGAGCTGGAAGGGCCCTCTGGTGCCACCTTCATTTTACCAATAAAACCCATAGAGATGAACTAGCTGGTCCAAAGTTGAATAGGTAGCGAATGGCAGCACCAGAGTTTGAGCCCAGGATTTCTGACTCCAGAGACTACTATTAACCTCCCTGTCTCACCTCAGTCTTCTAAGTCCCTGGTAGCAACTCTTGGAAAAAAACAAAAACTCCTGGAAAACCCTGAAGGCTCAGTATACTCCACTTACCTGTCTCTCTGAAAGGTTCAAAGAGGATGCCAGTTCCAATCGTCTTGGTGAGGAGATATATCTAGCGAAGTAAAATTCCTTCTCCAGCTCCAGCCTCTGATGATCTGTATAAACTACCCGGTACTTCTCTTTCCTTGTTTTCCCTGTTCGGAAGAGAAGGTGCATCTGAATTCGAGCATGAAGGAACATTGCCACACATCTACACTAACCTCTACCTGAGCAGGTGGAAATACCCCATGGCTGCCAGTGATGCACTTAGAGCCCAAAAGACCTGATTTCAACTCCTGCCTCAGACAACCTGGGCAAGTTACTTAATCTCATCTGCCTCTGTTTTCTCATTTATAAAATGGTAATAATTATAGCATCTTCCTCCCAGGATTCTTGTGAGGACCAAGATCATATATGGTCGAGAGCTATACCAATGTTAGCTATTCCCAATCAGAAGACATCCAGTGATGGAAAAGTCACTCTTTCCCACTTTTGGCCAGTTCTAATGATAGAATCCAAAAATTTAGATCTCTAGGGATCATCTAGCCCAGAGCTGTCAAACATGAGGCCTCCTGGCTTCATTGTGGCGATAACACTTCCTAGGTGCTGCCTAAACCAAATTCAAATGTCATTGGGAAATATCTAACAAAATAAATTAAAAAATACAATAAACCATAGATAATGTTAATATATGGTTTTCTAAGTCAGTATGCACCCACAAGGATCCTATGCATGGCTTTAGTTTCTATTTGCGTTTGACACCACTGATCTAGTCCACTCCCACCTACTCCTGCCCCATTTTACAGATTAGAAAGCTGAGATCCAGAGAAGTGAAGCCACTTACCCAAAGGTCACATTGGTAATAAGAAGCAGAGCTGGGATTTCAACTGAGGTCCCCCCACTCCAAACCCCATGCTCTCTTGACTCTATTTTGAGCCCAAATGTAATTTCCACCCACTGTTTCTAGGCTTGCCCTCTGAGGAGGAACCAGAGGTTCCCAAATTTATTTGACCTACCTGCCTTTTCAAAAAAAATTACTCAGTGCCTCCCTGGAAATCTACTTTCTTTAAACCTTTAATGGTTTTTTTTTAAATTTGCATCATTTCAAAAAATATAATATATATATTTTTTAAAATGATGCATCTTAAATTTAATAACTTATTATAAATTTGTGGGGTTTTTCCTGCATTGAAATTTTGATTACGCAATATTGCATCATGTAAGCATATACTAGCATATTGTAAACAAGTCATTACACACACATATTCCTGCCAATGCATGCTGCACTTCCTGACAACACGAGACATGCTTCCTTGCCAACACTTGCTTGTTAAGACCTATTGGTGGACTTGACTACTGCTCAGTTATAACTTGTATTTTAATTGGAAAATAATGCAATCACTATGACTTTAAATCTGTTACACAACAGATGAAACATGTACAAATGGTTTTTCAAAATTTTCTTCTTTCTTTATGCTTCCACTGCCCCCTCATTTTTATTCAACACCCTCCAATTGCACCTGAGGCTACTACCATGCTCCCCCCGTCCCAGCATCATTCCAGTGTCCCCTGAGGAGGTGGTATTGCCCACTTTGGGAACCTCTGGGAAACAAATCAAGTCTTCTCTAAGTCGACAATGCTTCCTTCAGCTAGCTGATGTCCTTCCAAAAATATACCTAGATCTGAACACATTGTTCTGGAACATAGATGTGGCCTGAACAGGACTGAGGAGGTGGGACATTCTGGGTCAGGCAGGAGGAGATTATGGCAGGAGACATTCATTGCTAGAGTGTGTGTTTGTGTTACAAGAGGTCACTCCTACTAGAACAGGACCTCTAGGAGGGAGGGCAAGGATTATGTCTTATCTAAACCGTGCATCTCTCCTAGCACAAACACAGTGGGAGTTTAATGATAGTAATAATAATAACTAGCATTATAAATGCTCATTATATAATAGCTTTTATGGTTTGCAAAACACCTTACAAATATCATTTCATTTGATCCTCATAACTGTGGGAAGTGTTGTTCAGTCATTTCAGTTGTGTCTGACTCTGTGACCCCATTTGGGATTTTCTTGGCAAAGATATTGGAATGGTTTGCCATTTCCTCCTCCAGCTCTTTTTAAAGATGAGAAACTGAGGCAAATGGGGTTAAGTGATTTGCCCAGGGTCACACAGCTAGTAAGTGTCTGAGATTCAGGAAAATGAGTCTGCATCTATTGGATAACTGCAGACCTAGTACTCTAGCCACTGCAGCATCACCTCGCTGCCTACTCTGGACAGTAGATACCCATTTTACAGATGGAAAAACGGAATCTGAGAGAGGTTAAGTCACTGCCCAAGGCAGAACTAGAACTCAGATCCTGCTGACCTCAAGTCCAGTACTCTGTTCACTGCATCAGTTGGCTACAGATTTATTGAACTGAACTTTTGAATTGACAGTGTTTTCCCCAAAATTCAACTGGTGAGTTTCCTTGGCACTCACTGGGACTAGAGATATCCCACTTGTCCCCAAGCACTGAGCTAAGAGCCCTCTTTAGAATCACTTGCCCTTTTGGGGTGTTGGTTTCCTCATCTGTTAAATGGGGAGGTTCCACTCCATCTCACTTAATCCCATGAACCTTCGTAGTGGGGAGAGTGGTTGTAATCTGAGATTTGTTTGATGACAAAATGAACCTAATATTGTCTGATGCTCAGCCTGGTGTTCAAGTCCTCTGCCATCTGACCAATCTTACTTTCCACTGAAGAGAGGAAAAAGCAACACACTCAGTCAACTCGTATTAACCAAACCCCTGCTTACGTACCAAGCCCTGTGCTAAGTGCTAGGGATACACATACAGGCAAAAAAACAGTCCCTGCTCTCAAGAAGCTCACGGCATAATGGGAGGTGCAACATGCAAGCAATTATGTACAAACAAGATCAATTGGGAGTAATCTCAGAAGTAAAATGCCAAGATTCAGGAGGAAAGGCTTCTGGCAGAAGATGGAATCGTAGCTGGGACTTGAAGGAAGTCAGGGATTCCAGGAAGCATAGATGAAAAGGGAGAGCATTCCAGGCATGGGGTTTGGGATGCAGCCCATGAAGATGTTTGGAGCTGAGAGATAGAGTATCTTATGTGAAGGACAGCAAGGACATCAGTGTCTCTGGATCAAAGAGTATGGAGGGCGGTGGGGAGAGGTGTAAGAAGATTGGAAAGGTAGGAGGGACCCAGTTTAGGAAGGGCTTTCCAAGCCAAACTCAGGATTTTCCATTTGATCCTGAAGGCAATAGGGAGCCATTGGAGTTTATGGAATGGGGTGGGGCTGGGTGGCATGGTCAGATCTGCTCTTTAGGAAGATCAATTTGACAGCTGAGTGGGAGGATGGGCTGGATTGGAGAGATACTTGTGGCAGGCAGACCCACCAACAGGCTCTTGCAATAGTCCAATAGCTGTGAGGGTTTACACCAGGGTGATGACAATGTCGGAGGAGAGAAGGGTTGTATACAGGAGATGTTATGTTCCAGATGTGCAGGCTTTGGCAACAGAGGGAGTGAGGATTCAGGATGACACCTAGATAGTGAGCCTGGGCGACTGGGAGGATGGTGGTGTCCTGGGCATCAATAGGAAAGTGAAGAAGAGGGAAGGACTTGGGGGAGGGGGAGATGAGTTTAGTATTGGACATAATGAGTTTAAGATCCAGTCTAAGATGGCCAATAGGCAGTTGGAGATGTGAGTCTGCAGGTTAGGACTGAATTAGTCGAGCTGGGAATCATTATCATACAGATAATGTATAATTATCATACAGATAAACTGAATCTGTGGGAACTGATGAGTTCACCAAATAAAACAGCATAAAGGAAGAAGAGGGTCCAGGACAGAGCTTTAAGGGATACTCATGGTTTGTGGGTGTGACTTAGAAAGAAGACCCAGAAGGAACAGTCTGACAGATAGGGGAACCAATAGAGAGCCGTGTCCCCAAAACCTAGAGAGAAGAAAATATCAAAGGAGAAGATGGTGAGACACAGGGCAAAAGGTTGCAGAGACGTCAAGAAGAATGGGGGTTGAGAAAAGGCACTCACCAGTGCAACAGATCTGGGGATTAAGAGTCCATTAGTGACTTTGGAGGTGGCAGTTTCAGTACAAAGATCTAATAAGAGGATGAGAGGAATGGAAATGAAAGCACCAATTGTGGATGACCCTGAGGAGTTCAGCCACAAAAAGAAGGAGAGATAGAGGCCAAAAGTTAGTGGGGATGGAAGGATCAAGGGACGGTTTTTTGAGGATGGGAGAGACATGGGTGTGTTTGTAGGTGGTGGGGAATCAGTCAGTAGACAGAAAGAAATTGATTAGTGAGAGAGTGGGGATGATAGAGGGCATGATCTGTTGGAAAGGATGGAGTGGAATGGAAAGGAAAGGAGGTGAGAGGAACAGAGAAAGAGAAGAGAAAGAAGCACTTTTAGTGGAGATGTAGAGAGAGGCTACGTTCTCTTATCCCTCCCCCAACTCCTCCAATTGTTACCTCATCTCAGGTACTGATAATCCCTGGGTCAATTGTTTGTCTCAACGTAGATGAGCTCAGCCCAGCCCAGGTCAATTTCCTCTCTACCCCTAAGTAGATTCCAATTCAGACTAGTGAAATATGTCCAAACAAATCCTGCTGGAAACCCCAAGCCCTGGGTACTCCAGCTGCTCCTTTCAAAGCTTTTCTGTTTCAGCAATGTACAATGCTTGTTTAGCATCTGGTCACACAGGCTGCTTTCTGACTCCCTCCTGGTCAAAGTCTTGTGATGAGAGAAGCCTGTTGTTTCTGTTTTCCTTTATGTGTTCAGGATCATACACTGAATGTCTAAAGTGGCTCCCTGAAGAATTGACCAAAGTCACCTCTTTCTCTTCTTCACAGAGGTGGGGGGCCATGGGTGTGTAATAGTGCTTATGCTGACAGACTACAGGAATAGGTTCATTTTTGCTAAACTGCTTTTTTTTCCCCTTTCTTTTTCCCCCTCAAGGCTGTGTAGGGGTTGTGGGAGGGATATATGCAGAACTGAAGAAGACAGAAAAGTAAGATATTCGCTGGAGGCAGCCAGATGGTGTAGTGGCTGGAGCCCAGAGCCAGGAGTCTAGAAGGCCTGAGTTCAAATCCCATCTCAGAAATTTTCTAGCTGTGTGACCTTGGGC